TTTTTAATAATACACTTTATATTTATTGTTTGATTATCTGAATAATTTTTCAAAATATATTTCCAACTTCCTTTATATTTTACTTTGAGAATAGCTCTTGGAAAATTTCGTTTTATTTATTTGGAATAATTTGAAATTTATTTAATATTTTATCATAAGATTTTTGGTGTCTTTTTTCTATATTTATAATTTAAATAATTTGTTCAGTATTCTGGATTAATTCATAAAAAAGGTATATTGTTATTCATATATAGATTATTTATCAATTCCAAAGCATTTGCTGTCAAAATTCTATTAGCCTTTTATAGCTGCCATATTGGTGCGATGCGCTATGATGCGATCAAGTCCATTCCAGAATTGATTGCCACGCGGCGAGTTTACTTTGTACTCAAATCGTGGCGTTTGTATCTGAGACACGGGCGACAAATGGGGCGTGGCTAGGTGCTCGGTGCTCGATGCTAGGGGATCGGGGATCGGAGATCGGGGCTGGCGTTGTCAACGCCAAATCGGTTGGCATAAATTCATCAACGTAGCGACCGAAACATTTGTTGCAACTCGATCGACGATCGTGGATGGGCAATGGACAATGGACGATGGGCGATAATAAAACCGATATAGTAATGCTTAAGTGTCGGTCGGCCGTCTAATGCAATGATTGCTGTAAATTAAAAATGCCACAAATGTTACGCACAGATATTTGTCGTAAGGCCCCACTGCTTGATATGCTGGGGCCAGCAATTGAGGGCCTAGAGCCAGAGAGCCAGACAGAACGTACACTGAAAGAAATGGAGGAGAACGAAATCCAATTATATATGAGAAATTTTATTTATTTTATTTATTTTATATTTCATATTTTATAGCCAGCATACACTGAGAGAAAACACAAAATCAGAAGTAGAGAGGATTTCAGGCGCAGTTCCTTTCTCCTTTGCTGAGAAAAGTATATACTTGGAGAGTCTGAGGATTGGGGAAGAAAAGGAAAACGAAGAATGAAAATATTGTACACTTAAGATAATTTACAAATCGTATCATATAGAGCTATAAACTTAAGGCGATTACTAACAAGAAATCCTCTCAGTGTATGTGGCTGGCCGTCTGGCTTATATGGGCTACTTGATGTTCGCGCTGAGCCCGAAATAGAGGCCTATAGACCGACTGACTGCCAGCGCTGACCACGTGCTGCTTCAAATAATAAACTTTATATTAACACATACAAAAGTCATACGCTTCGACGTTGGGCAGAATTTTAATCACTTAATTAGGCAGTCGTCGGACAGCCGAACAGTGGAACAGTCGCCCCCGAACTTTGTTTATGGCCTGCCCCAGACCATAACCAACCAAAGCGGCCAATGATGAATGGTACGAAAACTATGCAGGATCGGACAAACCGACAAGTTGGAGCGATCGACCGATCGAGCGATCGAGCGATCAAACTGCCTGCAAAAATATCGTTTACGAGCTTTGTAAAATGTGGCTATGTCAGAAAAGTTGACGCCTTAACGGACGACAATAAACAATGAACTGAACCCGAGAGAGCAACGCATGTCATCAATATGCATGATGAGCAGCTCGGGAGCGGGACCAGGGCGGGGTGGGCAGAGCCAGCAGCGCACGCCATTGTGCGTTTTGTTTTTGTTTTTTTTTTTGCCTTTTTTTCTTGGTCTTAACTGCCGCCCGATCGCATTCCGATGTGTGTTTTGTCGTCATTGTTTCTAAATTTATTTTTATAGTTTATTAAACAGTCTATAGTGAGCCACAAAGCCAGCCAAAATTATACGCCAAGTGCAGTGTGACGAATCCGTAATAAATACCCTGGCAAACATCAAGTGAAGCAAGGCGACGCAATTGAGAAATAATTGATTGAAATAGTTAATATGTTTATATATACACAATATATACACAACAAATAAAGCTACAAATTTCACTCTGAGCCGATTCTTTTGTCTTAACATAAATAAAGCTTGTCCATTTAACGACTTTTTAATCAATTTTGTTGGAAATAGAGCTATATATCAAGTCACAGCTGTACGAAATGTATAGCTAGGCAAGTTCGTTGCCTAAGTCTTTTGTGTCCATGGTAGTGTTTTCTCTTTCTCTCTGTTGTTTCGTTGCTTCAGCTGTCAAACTGAAAAAGTGGTTCATTTGTATCGTTGCTCCAATCTCTCCAATCAAAAAGCCATTTAGAGAACAAAAGACAAACATAATAAAATCGATGCGACATGGAAACAAAAAAATACAAAAAGAAAAACTAAAAACAAAAACAAAAAAAAAATGAAAAGTATAACATTTCAAAATTTTATTGACTGTCAAAATGCAGGCGCCAAAAATGCACTGAGACAAAATAAATGTATTGGAGGAAGCAGAAAATCGAAAAGAAGCGGGTCCGATCATATTACGTGGCCCATTGGCGCCAGACGGCGAAACGCTGGGCCTCAACTCCAACCTTTAGAGCGTTGAGAGGCATTTAAACGCTTTAAGATGCTTTATTATGTATGCGCCATGAGAGATGCATTATTAATAGAGTTACGACTGAGAGACGGAGCTATCTAGCCGTATAAATATATACACGTTATATGCCAGTTGGGCTGGGCGGGGCATGCAGGGCGGAGTTATGAGCACATCTTTAAAAATAGTGCAGCAGCAGCAGCAGCAGCAGCAGCAGCAGCAGCAACTGTTGCCAGTCGATAGTTAGTTGGGGAACGTGTGCTTATTATAAATTATATATTTAATTGCGCTTGGCGCGCAGCTCTTCTAATGCATCATCCAATCAATTGCCGTTAAGAATTTGCATTTGAAACAGACGGCGTACGAAAAAATTATTGACAGACGATAATGGAAACATGTTTTTAATGAGAAATTATGCAAAACATGATTGGGTCCATAGCTTGGCTTCACAACATTCCTTTCAGCTCCGACGCTCGCTGCTGTGTCCGGTAGCGGCCTTAATTACTGTCCATAGCTTCCTATCGACTATGGCAATGGCCGTAGTGTTTGTCTATACAGTTTCCATATGCCATGTTGGGGCGTGTTACGCTGTCGGACAAATGGTCAAAACAAACTAAGTATATGGATGGTATGTCATATCTTTTTGTAGACAGCTGCCAGCAGCAACTGAGTGTGTGTGTGTAAGTGTGTGTGCTGAAGAGGCGAGATCGTATTATTAAGATAAAACTCAAGTTAATGCCAAGCAAGTGTCAGCCAGACAATGCAGGAAGCAATTGTTATATAATATGCATAATTGCCATTGAGGCAGAATGAAAACTGAAAACTGAAAACGAAATCGTATATAAAAATGATCTCTATGCTAGCCCGACTGACTTTAACCTCCAATTAAGATTCGTAATCTCGAGTGTAAATAGCTCGATATGAACTTATTAGAATTACATTTATATATCGCTTAAATGAAATCCATAAAACTTCTCTCATTAAAGCTAACTCTTGTCAATTCCATGTAATAGCTTAAGCTGCTTTACAGTCGGCCTATCGCTGCTTGAGATATCACACACACACACACACACACATGCACATACGCACACGCACATCAAATTGAGTTAGTGCATTTGAATGCCATCAAAAGCTATCAAGTAACGGTCAGTTCCATTGTTTCACAGCCAAACGGCCAGGGGAACTGGCATTAACCCATTTAAGGGCAGCCGCAAGTTAAGCAAACACCGGACCGCAATCTGGGAACGATCTTTATTGATTTTGGATGGCCAACGAGAGAAAAAAGAAGAAGATGAAGTAAACTTGACTCCATGCAGCGGCGCTTGGCTCACACGATGTCCGAGTGCAGGAGGAGTTGGCTTTGCTTTGGCTTTTCTCTGCCTCCCCCTCTTCGTCTTCTTCTTCTTGCACTTTGTGGCTTGGGCTGGCGCTGGTAATTAGTGATCTGGTGCACTTGATATCCAGCTTAATTTAAACATTTCGTACACACCCAGAGCCAAGCGCACGCACTCCAAATCTCTGACTCTGACTCTGGCTTTGGCTTTGGCTTTGGCTTTTGCTCGGTCTTTGCAGCTGCCAGCTGCCAGTCACAGTTCGCAGTTCGCAGTTCCCAAGTTGCTTGTTGTTTTTGGTTTTATTTTTATTTATTTTTTCTCTTTTTCTTTTGCTCTGCCCTAGCCCTTTCGAGCTGCGTGCAGCGCATGCCATTCGCTTGTTGCTGTTGTTGTTGTTGTTGTTGGCCCGTTCGCCGTGTTCTCGTTTAAACGTTTATTTAACTTAAACGAACTTTGCGTGTCGATTAAAATGCAGCGATTAAGGTACGCGATGCTCAACGTTACCAACAGATCTCAGGCAGAGGCAGCTCTACACTCTGCTGCCTCCTGCCTCCTGCCTCCTGCCTCCTGCTGCCACCTCCAGCCTCCTCCCAGAGTCTCTTGTGTCTTG